CATTTGTTCATCATCAAAAATGTCACATGATTCGTCAAGTGCTATGGCGTAGCAAGGTGCCTTTTACAAGAGTTCAAGAAAAGTGTTTTTAATATCAGCAGCTAAAATTTCCGTTTTTCGTGTATTACTTCTCGCTGATAATGGAATACTTTGAAATGCAGCGACATTTTTTTTTCCTCCAAAAATGTACCGTGACTGATTCCAACATACATTTTTTCACCATCTCAGAATCTGGTGTTTTTTAAGCGTCCAGTAGACACGTAACGCTGCTTCTGTGGATTTTTCTTGCTCGCTCATGCAACAAACTAGTAATTTCGTGTTTTTTTGTGAGAAATTAGATATGCATGAAGTTTTTCTTTACGAGCCTCGCTGCCAAGAGTAAAGTTTTTGTAAAATAGCGAAAGTTTTATTGCATATAAGGCACACTAGAACCGCTTGAGGCCTATCAGGCAGCGTAAAACAATATCGTTCAGTCCATTCTGCCAGAAACCTCCTATTTTCACTGTCCACTTTACGCTTTTTTAGGATCCATAGTAACATAGGTACGAAAATATGAAAACGTGAAAAATCACAAAACGAATGAATGAGTCTGCTTTCTCCCGCTCACACGCCCGATCGCGCTTGTTTCAACAAAACAAAACAGTCGCAAGCGCGCACAAACACACACACACACACACAGGGTAGATGAGAAACTGATGAAACCATATCAGTTGTAGGTACTTGTAAAACAGATTGACTAGGCAACTTGAAATAAAATAAGTACATACTAAGTTGAATTCTATGTGGCTTAAAAATATTACTTTAATTGATAAAGGTATACCTTATCTACGTATTAATTTATACTTGGTATATAACACATTGTTAAAACACATTAATTTATTTTCATTTCAGACACAAAAATTTGTTTTCTTCACAAATAAGCGTTCTCATATGTTTCAATTACCTGCTACTTTTCGTTCCTGGTATTTTTAATATTTTCAGTTTTTCATTCTTTTTTCTTTTCATAGTCTTCAAAACTGTTACAATTGCCAACCATGATTATTGATATTCTGAAAGTTTTGATTTTGAAGTTGAAGTACCTCAAATATCGCACTTTGCTTCTTTTGAGTACCTATTAATGTTACGAAGAACATTGGCGAATTTTTATTTTGACTGCAAATAATTTTCAATTAAACAACAATAAAAATTAATTTGCGCTCCGGGTTGACGATTTAGGTATAGCTGAAGAATTTTTCACCATCTTTCAATTTACCGAGTAATATACAGTAATATACATTTGAAAAAATGAACTTTTGACTACTTTTATGCACAATGGAACCAAATAGTAATTTTAGCACGCCCTGTATGATATGGAGTCGATTTTTTGGTGTTATTTGAATATTTCGAGTTTTTCCAAACTATCATCAAAATATCAACTTTTCATGAATTGAGAGTACTGACGTACTTATTTCAATTAAGGCTATGTTTTGGAACATATTTAACACAATTCATTAAGGAAATGTGAGAGGTGAAATTTTCAGAAAAATAATGCTTTGCGTTTTCCAGAAATGTCTAACCTACCATCGACCGTGAGTCACGCTGTATTTCTGCAACTGAAAAGCAAAACGGCCATTTAGCAACGTCCTGGATTACTTACATTGTTCTTAAAAGATATAAAACATACAAGTAGAGATCCATTTTTCAAGGCGAGATCCGATTTCGGATCTCGTCTTGTATCCCTGTGTATATCGAGTTCATCAGGTGTAGGAAGGGTGGGGAAAGGCATGATTGAATTTTTGTTAGGATCTCACATTGGACCCATTTTATGCAATTTTATACTCCAGTAGTTCCTCGATGTTGCCTACAGAGGGTGTGGCAGTAACATACACCGGTATCAGCTCAATATGCATTTTACGGTTAACCTGAGATCCGGTAAATTTGACGTTATTGTGGATCTCGTTTCATCTTGCATTCCTCAAGATATATGTTAACATTACAATATAATCTTTTGTGTTCATTATGATTTGTTTCGCAAGTGTGCTTTTGCTAAATGGTGAAATATGTCATTGAACGTTGACAAACGAGAATGCTGAAAAAGACATGACTCTTGATACATGCAATTCTGTAGGTCGTCAGATTTTCTAAATTTTCGGATATAGGTATTATTTTAGTGATCAAGAAACGCAATTTCAGTTCGTAGAAGTTTTTTTGTAACTGGACAGAGCGAGCCACAAAAAGCATTGAATGTCTAATATATCAAGAAATTTGTCTACACATGCGTATTTTCTATTGATTTCTGGATTTTATTTCCTTCAAACAAATCTGATCGAACTTTTCAGAAGAATTATTTCGTTCGTGTGTCTACCGGGTTGGCCAAAAAAGTTGTTGAATATCGGTCACCTCTTATGGGAAATTCTGTCTATGTTCCTGTGGATTGTTTATTGAATTATCGATATGATTTTGTATGCAATTGACAGAATTTTTGTTTAGTGTATCAGAATGTATTTCTCCTTGGTAAAACTTGTATGCCCATATACAGGGTGCCCCACAATGAAGGGGACAAACTCTGATGGTAGAATATTCATTTCATTTTAGGGCTCGAAGTTCCAATAAACACATACCCTAAGAAATAATAACCGAGTTACGGGGTGTTGAAAATGACAAAAAATATATGTTTTCCAGATAAACTCCATAACGGCTCAACTTCTCTTAATGAAATTTGGTATGTCACATGACAGCATTCAGTTCCAAATTTCAATGCAAATCATGTGTTCGTTACTTCAAACAGGAGCGTACGGCAGGTGGTTGCCCTTAATCGCCCCTCCCCAAATTTCACGACACTGGATTTATATCGATTTCGTCTTCTTTTTCCTAATCCCGAATATTTCCTACACAAAGGAGGGATGAGTTTCGTTTCACAAATATCAACGCTTTTCAAGATATTTTAAGTTGAATAAGTGCGTGCGTATCAAAATCTCCTGATTTTTTGAAGGAATGTGTGGGTTACTATTTATAACATTATAACCAACAGATTTCGTTGCAATGAGTATGACTAAGTATTTAGGAAATTATTGGCATTTCTGAGGGATTTCGTTTACAAAAAGTTCCCGATATAGAAAAACTTATATAGCAATTAATGAGTATCCATATAACATACGCATACACTTATTTAACTTCAAATATTTTGAAAACGATTGATATTTTTGATAACGAAATTCATCCCTTTTTGGTAACGGAAATATTGATTATTGAGAATTAAGAAAAAGAAGATGAAATCGATATTAATCCAGTGGTGTGAAAGTTGGGGAAGGACGAATAGGGGTTCCCACTTGCCGTACGCCCCTGTTTGAAGTTACAAACACAAATTGCATTGAAATTCAAAACTAAATGCTGTCAAGTGACATACCATATTTCATTCAGAAAAGTTGAGCCGTTATGGAGTTATTCGGGAAAACATACTTTTTTGTCACTTTCATCACCCTGTAACTCGGTTAATATTCATCTTAGGGTATATGATTATGGGAACTTTTAGCGTTAAAATGTAGTGAGGATTCTACTATCGTAATTTATTCTGGGACACCCTGTACATATATGTTTTATTTCTCCCAATTGCGCTGCCAGGACTTTCGTTTGGGAGGGAAAATGAACATAGAATTCATCAGATTTTTTTCATACATACATTTACAAGCTTTTATTACTATTCAGTTTCGCCATTCCCGCTGTCTGTCTGTAATCAAATCTTGCAAGTTGAATACGACCCAAGTTGTCCGATTAACTTGGAATTTGGCAGGTGTTCATAATTCCGGTCATATGTTCGCTAGTTATGTTAGAGAAAACAAATTGCGGACGAGCTTTGTATTACGGTCAGATTCTATTCTTAATTGGTATGTGGGGGTTTTCGGGGTCGAAGATTATGAATATGTTTATCAGAATTCATAAATTAAATATGGCAGCATCAAGATGGCGGGCCAGTTATGTGATTATGGTCAGACCTTATTGAAAAATTGTTATGAGGGGAGTTTCGGGGTAGCAGATTATGATTTTCGAGTCAAAATTCATAATATCAAGATGGCAGACGAGGCTTGTGATTATGGTCCAATTCCAATGAAAATTGCTATGTTAGGGATCTTGAAGTCGGATGCCATGATGACATTATTAACTTTAAAAAATCCAACATAACGTCTCCTATACATTTTGTTTGACAACTAAAAAATTCAAAATAAAATTAGATGGAAATTTTTTTTGAGGACAAGCTTTGAAATACCCCAAAGAGTAAAAAATAATTTCTTTGGATGAGCGGCATAGGTTATTCTATTACTAACAGATTCAAAAGCTTGTCGCTTCTGTATCCAAATTGAAAACTTTGCCCTGCAGGTTTTTGAATCTGTTACGTACAAAATAACCTACGTCACACATTTAGAAATTATTTTTTACTTGTAAGTGGTTTTCCATAGAATTTTGTGATTGAAAATTTTGTTTACCTATTTTTTTTTCGTCAACATGATATTAGGATTGCGTAAATGGAACAGAACAACATAAAATAATTTTCTATAATTAAGTAAGCAAAATATACATGGTGGAGGCAGAAATTAAATGAATAATATTGTAGAATAAAAATCATTCCTGGAGTTACCAGACACGCGAGTTTCATTGGGTAGTATATTTGTTAATGGGGGTAGTAAGTATATTTTATAACGAATATCACAAAAATTAATACGTTGCATAAGGTAGCTTTTCGACATTTAACGCTACATTTATCAGAAGTTTAGTTATTTTTGGCCAATTTTTCATTATACGCTTTCTGTTTGTTCTGAAAAAGCATAATTGAATAGCAATTATCTGCAAAGTGTTTACCCTCGATATACTTAAACGTAACAGAAACATTGTTTTTTTGTGAATAATTTGATTCAGAAACTTATAAAAGAGAAATTCCACACATTGCAATATGTTTAGAATCGTGATAATTTTGTTTTTCATTCCTCTCTGATCGTGTAGATATGTATGTAAATGAAACAGCAAAATATTCAGTAAGTATTTAATAACAATAAAGAAACAAAATATCGTTCTATGCAAAAAAATGATGAAATAAGGCAGCTCCTATAATAATTAAGTTATGGTAAACGATATGTATTATAAATAAAAGTTTTTATTTGAACCCATTTCTTATCAATGAACAAATCAGGTCTCTCATTTATGAGTTTGATACACTCAGCTTTCTTTGGTGCTATTTTATTTTTCAAGTGGGTTCTGAAATAAGATATCATAATTGATTTTTGTTTTGCTGTCCATGTACCTCGTGTGGATTGTTTAGTGGATGTTCTCTTCAGAGCGATCTCTTTCTTCACTGGTTCTTCTATGAATGAAAACTATCAGTTGGAAGCCAATGCTGAAAATGTCAAAGTAACATACCGATAAACTTTTCAGCAATCGTGCTAGCTGAGTGCACATCCTTTGGATGCTCTTCTTCGTCACATTGGTCCTGAACAGTTTCACTATGTTGTGAAGAATATTCAATGGAGTTGGAGCGAGTTATCTCTGGTTTCATGTCAACATTGTTCCACATTTCCAATTCCATATCGATTTCGTTCAACGTCCGTCCCTTATTTTCAGCACCAACTCCCTTTTCCATCATCAGTAACAGTTTAGCGATTTTAGCTGTTTGAAAGACATCCTGAGGTAATCTGGAATGATATATTGTTAGATGATGTGAACTGAAAAATTGTGGCTGCTTGAAACACACAGTTGACGTGAAATTTATTCAAGAGGTTTTTGATCGATTATATATCAGTAGATTTTTTTTACCAAAAAGAGAACATAGTCGATAATTGCGGCAACAACCAAAGTAAATAGTTAGAGTATAGTAAAGAGTTAGTGAATGAAGTCTTAGTCCAATTTTTATTAGATATATAACGATTTTAAAATATTATATCAACTAGAAGTGAGTTTGTCCTCAGACTCTCTCTACTCCAAAAACTTCCCTACAACACCCCTCAGTCAGTATTCCCACTTATCCCTGTATTACTCTGCTGTCGCAAATATTATTCAGTACTTGTTTGAAGAATAAGATCCAAATTAAAAAATTCCAGAAATTGATGAAATCGATTGTTAGTTGAGAAAATTAAAATCCCAAAAAACTCATCAAAGAATGAATTTTCTCCACAAACTCAATATTCAAAAAATCGAGAAAACGATACTTGAAAAAATTTAAAATTCCGAAAACAGGCCAAGAAATGAATTTTCCTGACAAACTCAAAACTCCAAAAATCGAGGAAATCGACACAGCCACTTGAAAAACTAAAAATCCCAAAAAACAGGCCAAGGAATGAATTTTTTCCACAAACTTAATACTCAAATTTGAATTTTTACCTGTAAAATTCTTCGTGGGTTTTCTTCGTGTGACCCATAAAAGACGCTACTTGTTCCATTTCTGTTTCATTCAGATTCAAAATCTGCAAAACTGTTGCAATCTGTTTTCTCAATCGTGACGATGTTAGAACACTGGGATTTTTAGCACCACAATTTGTGGCATATTTTCGTAATATCGATGAGCCGTCCACCCATTTCTTTCGACTTCCAGTCAATGCAAATAAAAAAGGATTTTCTTCAGGTACGAAATTGCTCGTTCTTCGAATAGAAAGCAGAGTGTTTACATATTCCTGCAACTTTCTAGAAAACAGAACCGGTACTGCTTTACTGCCTTTTCCGACTGTGATAATCCTTTTGAAATGATTTGACAGGGCAATTTCGTTTTCAGTGAGGACGTTCAAGCACTCTTTTTTATTTGTAGTGATGACATTAAGATTATACGCATCTTGTTTGATATACTGCACGTCACCTACCCTTTTCCTGTTTAATAAAATAGTTAAGGCGAGAGAGGCTTCCGTTAAATTCTTGTACGATTTAATATCTTCACAATTTACCTTTAAATTTGCCAGGCTTGTTTCGGCGATCGTTTGAGTGTAATTTTGAAACAAAATGATGTCTTCTGTAACTGGCAACGTTTGTGGTTTTGAAGAATGTTTTTCGTTCAGATCTTTAAGTGCAAGCGATCCCATAGCATACTTCCAGTTCGACTCTACTATTTCCACAAATCTTTTCACATTTTTCAAAGATTCTTCGTAATTTGTTACTGGTAAGATCGGGTCCTTTTTCAACAGTAATAATTTGGCAGCTGAACCCACCGCTAACAGGGATGTTCTCATATGCATTGCTAAAGATGGTGCCTTAAAAGTTCGCGTTACGTCGTCATATCCAGATATAATCCTTGTTGCCGCCACTACTTTATCATAATTTTCAGGTTTGAAGGCCTCTAACATGCTGTCAATACCATAAATGTCTTGAAGAGGTATCAAGAGTCTTCCTAATTCTCGTACTTTGTTTGATACGGCATTTTTTATATGCGGTCTTTTGTGTTTTCTTAAGTAGTTTTCAGCATATTGGCATATTAATGTGTCGCTCTTGCCGTTGAGTGAAATTCTGTCTGCTTGCATGGTGTGAAAAACTTCAGATTTCAATCTCAACCTATCCAGATACTGTCGGCGAGATTCATTGAATGCTATCATAGTTTGCCCTTCACTTGCGTACTTCAATTGTTTGTTTTTCTCAGTATTGAACTCACAAATCTTCGCATGTCGTTTTAGCGACTTACTTTTGTAAAGACCTTTGCAATATTTGCATGGTAAAAAGTCGGTCAATGAAGTTATGATTCGTGAAGTGGAACTGGGTCGCTGAACAGGTCTAACTATATTGGCGCTATTCAACATCGAGAAATTGCCCTGTTTCCTCAACAGCTCAATCATTTTTTTTCTACTATGCTTCCCTTTAGGCTGTGATAAGATTTTCTGGACACTCTCTTCCTCGGCATGTTTTCTAAAAAGATGCCTTGAAAAGTTTGTGACATCTGTGTTGCAATATAGGCAACGATCTTTTTTATCCCACACTCTTCCCTTTCGTAAACTACATTCTACTATTTTTTCGTTTGAATTTTTATACTGCGGAGGAAAGAAAATATAAGTGAATAATTTTGCACATAGTGTTCAGTTATATAGCTACTGTTAGTTATTAGCCACGGCAAATAATAATAATAGCCGTCCTCTACTCGCATCTGCTATACCTTGGAGCACAATTCACGAGCTTTTATGAGGAAGTATTATTATTTTTAAGGGTTTCAAATTACAATAGAGAGTAATTGCAATATTTATGTTTTCCAATCACAGCATTTTGAATAATTGTTGTGAAATAATAAATAATGTTCCTTGAGTATGTATAGATGATTATAAAAAAGTTTTTCATACCTGTTTCATCCCACATCCTTCCTTAATAAGAATGTTGTCGTGAATAATTATTTTCTTTTGGCAATTTGTATTTTTATAGCTAACACCTTTCAAATACTTCTTCTCTCCGTTTTCCTGAAACCGATTATAAAATGATGATGCTTTGAAATCAAACAATAAGGTCAAGAATTGAACTTAAAAATTATTTTCGAAAATGAGTTTTCGGCATAGCAGAAGGAAAGATGAATATCAGAACTAAATAAAAAAAAATGCGGATCGACCGGGATTTGAACCCGGGTCTTTATGGTCTCCGTGCTTAAAAGCAAAAAACAAAAAAGCAAAAATCTTTTTTATTAAAATAAACTATTTACATGCCTACATTTCATGAGTACCTCCACCTTAAGGGTAGAGTAGCAAAGTGACATCAGACAGACGCGCCCTCACGTCCCCGCCGTGGGGAACGCCCCCGCGATGTTAGCAGGTTGATGCTCACCCAGAAACATAGACTTTATTGAAACGGCTAGGTTATGTGTCTCCTGCCACCAAGGCTTATGCACATCATTACATGGTGTTGATATTCAGGTCGCTCAAATGAAAACATACCTGTCGATGTGTTGGTTAGCTGTCTCCGTCCTTAATGTACTAACCACTATACCATCGATACAGTTTCGAAAACTGGTTAGCACATTAAGGCTGGAGACCATAAAGACCCGGGTTCGCCACATTTTCTAAATTTAGTTCTGATTTTCATCTTTCCGTCTGCTATGCCAAACATTTATTTTCGAATGTAATTCAACTACAGACTTCATTATTTCATTATTTGCTTCATTATTTAAAAATTATTTTTGTAAGTTATCAAATAAAATCAGTTTGACAAAAAAATGTTTTACTGTTGAACGACCAAAAGAGAGAGGAGGAAGTACTTATTTAGAAAATAAATCATATACATTGATTGTATACAACTTATGTAGAATAAAACACTTAAAGATAAAAAATATTAGTGTAGGTGTCTGTAGGTTTGTCCGAGTGTGACTTTTCGTGAAGTTCAAATTTGATATAATAATAATGATTATTTTCTGAATGAAATAGGTACCTACATTTTGTTCTCTTTTTATAGCTTATCATGTATATGAAATGAAAACAATATAACTGAGAAGTTACCTGAACAATTTCCTGGGATGCCTTTGACGAAATGCTATCTGAACTTTCCGATTGGGTTTTTAATATTTCATTTTGATCTGGATACCAAGATTCCTAAAACCGAATATTTACATGATTATATTTTTTAATGATTACATTTTGTACCAACCGATGAATTTTCCCATGGGTCACTTGTTTCAGAATTCTGACTTTCATTTGCATTCATATACCGCATTTCCTTTGTCGGTCCACTTACTGCTGAAATTTCTGATAAGAAAAATGTTACTTACAAATATAAAATGATACAACTGCATAAGTGAGCCTTCAAAGCACGCGCAAAGAGCCTATAACAAAACGCGAGTACTTCAAAGGGGCTTGTACCCGTGTATCATCAGCAATTTTTGTTATGCCTGCATCGTTACTACAGAAACAATTCTGAAAATTAAGTTTAGATGAGGATAATATTCCTTATATTTTACTCTAATCAAATAGGTAATGGGGCATCTGATGTCACGTACTGTTGACATGAAAGCTTATTTGACAACATTTCATATGATCAAACTGGGAACTTGGCGTTGTTACTTAGCAACAGCATTTTTTCATGAAAATTTTGCACGTTTCCCAGAGCAATTGACAAGCATTACGATACAGGTAAAATAAAAATATCACATTCAAAAATATATTCAGCTACATTTCATTCAACTCTGAAAATACTGAAATTTGGTGTTCACCTTCTTTTTTGGAACATTCGAGTGAGTTTGATTCCGTTGCCTGACATTTTTCTTTTCTTGGACTAAATGGTTTTAACTCTTGTACGACTCCTGTTGTGGAAATATCAAAATCAGCGTTCTCCACTCTTGTAACATGGCGGTTGGCTTTCCATTGATTGAAATGCAACCACGGATCATCGTCTGTTTCAGAAACAATATCATAGACACTAGCTTGATCCGCTGAAATAAATTTATGATTCAAGAAATAGAAACTACCAAAACACCAAAACTACCTACGTCAAAATCACATTCGATACACCTAGGTAATGAAAACCAGTGTTTCGCATAATTTTTATGTTTGATAACATTCTATAAATAATTTTGAGAATATAATTCTCATTAGGTGAGCTGACGCAAATAATCGGATTTATTCTACCGTGGCGTGGGTCTGTATGATTCGTTCTTGTTTCGTCAATTCGTGATTCGTCACCTGCCCCAAAATTTCTTGTTTCATCACCTGTACCTTTTTGACCTTTTCGCAGGTAATAATTTATTTCGCATTCGTCAACTGGGACTAGTAGGGCCATAATTATTCAAGTTTAATTTGTCGTCCTGGCTTCATCAAATATATTATTTTTTTATTAGTCATATTTAACAAACAAACTAACTAACCAGTCAAATATATTTTTTTTTATTAGTCATGTTTAACAAACTGACTCACCAATTTCCAGAATTCATTTGGAATCGAATTGTTTAAACCGTATTTGATTATTTTTAAAATAAAAATAAAAAATGAATGATAAATAGAAGCCTCTTAATCACTAGCGCAGGTGCAAAGATGAGGTGACGAAACAAGAACACCTTAACCAGGTATATTTTGCAGTTGACGAAACAAGAATATAATGGGTCATAACAGGTGAAATTTCCCTAGGTGACGAAACACGAATTGACGAAACAAGAAACTACTGTCTGTATGGTTGCTGTGAATTTGGTTAAATACTATCGGTTGAATACAAAGAATACATGGAGATTTTGTTTTTCAAGACTAATATTTCCTCACAATTGATTATCATTCGTTTGGCAGGGACAAGACGAATTTAATGTTTACCGACATACCCTGGCACTGACGAGAGACAAGAACCTCAAAACGCGCCTGCAGGTGGTCATCCTCAGCCAAATGAAGGATATATTTTGTATAATTACGAGAAGCACTTGCATTTGGGTTCTCTTAAAGGAACGTTGCAAAATGTCTCTGCCAGAAGTACTTCGATTTTATTGATTTTATTATGTCATTTATTTGTACTCTCCGGCATATTTTCGAATTTTGTTCGATGTTCGAATCCTAAAATAAAAAATTCTCTTTTTTAAATTTCCGAATTCTAAGTCGGAATTTTACTTCAAAATTCCTAGTTGTATCTCGAAATTTTCAATTTCCGAGTTATAACTCGGAACTATTTCTCAAAATTCGAAATTTTAAAATTCCGAGTTTTAAATCGGAGTTTTATATAAAAATTCCGGGTTGTATCTAAGAATTTTAGAAAAAGAGAATTTTCTATTTCCTTCCAGAGTTTCGTAGGATCCCTATGCAGAAAGCATAATTTGAAGCAGTGCAATAAATATTGTTTTGAATTAAACTGAACGTAAAATTTGAAAAAGCTGAATGTGATTAAGATTGAAGAAGTATCTTTCGAAAGAAAGAAATAGTGTATCCATACCAAAATTGTGCGTGAGCAATATAACAAAATAACATACCTCTTATACTTTCGACAGCACTCTTCTCTAGTGGCCTTTCAAAAACATTTTTCAATTCATTTGACTTTTCATTTGAAGGAAATCCATAACGGTAATCATCTTTGACGCATTTAGTCTCATTTTGAACATGCATTGCCATCACACCTGCAGACAAATTGATTATTAAAATAAACACTAAAACATAAACTATTATTCGACGATGAAGTAGCAGACAGGAATGTAAAAAATTGAAATTTATCAAATGGATGACCACCATATTTCCTAAAGTCATTCGAAAATAACATACCTCTTTTACTTTCTACCACACTATTTTCTGGTGGCCTTTCAAAGAGTATTTTCATTCCATTCAATTTTTCATTTGAAGGAAATCCACAGCGGTAATCATCTTTAGTGCACATAATCTCATTTTGTACATGCACTGGCATCACATCTGCAGACAAATTGATTATTGAAAGAAATGTNATTTCAAAATTCTCAACATTATTATTATTATTACATTAATAATAATAAATTTTTGTACTGTCGTCGGTCCTTGATGTGTAAGCCGAATTTTAGATTATTCGGAAGATTGGAAGCAGGTGGAATTTATAATTAATAAATTCACATCATTATTTTTTTTCCATAAAAGGATGTCCCAGTCAGGCCCTAGTTCCGGAGCCCCGATACTTCCGGAGGCCGCACTGGATCATTTACTCAGATAACCACTCCCCACGTCCGTGGGGTGAGTGATTACTGGGTCCGAGAATCATGTGCCCTGAGTAGCCGTAGTGAACCAAGGATGACAGCCTTCTGCATTCTTCCGGCTAAGATTTCTGCCGCATCACGGCAAACCGGTATGATTTTTAGATTGGAGAGCAGCGTGTTCATTTCGCCAGGAGACGAAAACTCTATGACGAACATCGTCTTACTTTGATAGTCGAGGGAATCATTATTATTATTATAATTATTATTATTACATTCTCATCACGAAATTCTTGTATTGTCATTGGTCCTTTGATATGTGTGCCAAATTTTATATTCTTCAGACGATTGGAAGTGGGTGAAAATTAACTTCCAAGATTTTATTACATTATTGGTTAGTTACAGGTGAACCAAATAAAAGCGTGTTGAAAAAAGAAATAATTTTTTGTCACCTAGCATGGGTTGATATGAGTAGCACATCGTCGACTAGAAGAGTGTTGTTCAACAGGAAAATAACGGCGGAAACTTTTATGATATCAAAAAAATGTGATTATATTACTGCAGTCATAATTAAACTTTTTCTTGAATGTTAGAAATCCTTATTCAGACACATTTCATATTATTGCTCGCGTTCTCTTGTAAAAGTAGAGTAGAAAGATTAAGTCTTTTAGTCGATGATTAAATGGAAATAATTCTCTAGAATGTAACGGAGTAATAATATCCTTGGTGAAAAGGAATAACACAATTATAGGAACTTACCATCTATTTCCTTATTTGTCTCCACTTGTAATTCCACCAACTTCACTATATACTTTCCCCGCGACATTTCGCAGTTTCTTCAATATATCTTTAAATTTCAATTGCGTCACAGTATTTCTGTATGCGACCTAATGTCTAGCACGTGGTCTTTTTATCAAACACCTGCTAAGGATTCGCATTTTAGCGCACTACCGACGGATCTCACGTTGGTGTGAGTTTACAGAACATAAAAATCTAATACAACATGTGGACAACTCTTTCTGTGGATCTCGTTTCGAAACTTTTTTAACAAAAACCAACAATTCAAAATTGTTTCCCCTCTCAAGGGGTAGAGATTTGATGAGTCATTATAATGCTACTAATTATAAATATACTTCAGAAAATTTACACTCATTCAGGTAGATCTCGGGTTGTCTTGATTTTAATAAGATCTCATCTTGTAAGGAAAACGTATATATATATATATATATATATATATATATTAGCATTCCTGTAACTTTTATTCAATATCCTAATTGTGTACTGTAGTATATCCGAACTAAATTAGATAGATATATTTATGCAAAACGATATAAATATCGTTTTCTTTATGATTTTCTGAAAACTAATGGAAAATGTAATTTTATGAATGAACATTGGCAGCTGTCTCAAAAAAAAATAGTAACGTATCATTTTTTTGGTAGTATTTGTCAACAATTTGTCATTTCACCAACTGGTTTTGTACTAGAAACCATAAATTTTTAATCATGCTAACGGAAAATTATATTAATAGCAACTCCGTTTTTGTAAGAAGTAAATATTTACAGTAAAAATATTGACAGCAAAAGTGCTGTCTACATTGAAAAGTGTGGATAAATAAACACTATGTATCTTCGAGTAAATTGGATTGATTATGCAATCAATCAATGCTGTGGTGAAGAGTGAAGCGTAAACAATTGAGAGTTTTCAACATTTTAGAAGTCGGTATCTAAGCAATACCCTACCAAAAACGAAATAAAAATCTGCCTCCTGTTTTTTTTTATGCGTATAGTCTTTCGTGTATTAAATCAGTATTTTTCTTATAGCAGTTGTTCATTCTTGATTTAAGTATTGATTTTTTTTAAATATCCATTGCAAGATGTTATAAAATAAAACTATTTGTTGAAATGTTTACAGTGTGTTTTATATATTTTCAAATACGCTGGATGAAAATTAAAACATACGAAAATTCCTTTCGAATAGGCCATTATTTCGACATTGTTAACAAAAAAAAAGATTATCCTTATAGTTCGTGATTTGAAAATTTCTTTTGGAACCCTAACGGGTTTTTCCGAATTCATCAATGTAGGAGACACAACATGAATTTCAGCTAGTTTTCAGTAAACTTCCGGTGAACAAACAAGCCAAAAAAGAACGAAAAACCACAGTCACCAAAGTGTATCTTAGACGTATGGCAATTTTCTCCTGTTTTTTTAAAGAAATATGTTTTCAACTTTCTAGTCACGCTAAGAATGATAATTACAGATATTGCATTAGGCATTACTTTAATGATTTAGACCACATTGATGAAATATGTGAAAATAGTTCTTGTAGAACATTGAATAAATTATTGCGGTATGTTCATGTCAAGTTGCCGTATTTGTGATATGAAAATGCAATAACAATAAACCAACTTTCATATTCTTAGATGACTGATGTGCTATTGTACGGTTTAATAACAGTGCAGAACCTACTTTCCAAAACTATTGTCGCCAGTGCAATGATACTTTCTAGTGACACGAATTACAATATAATTGATAACGGAAACAATTCATCTGCAGTTGCTGTACTCAATTTTCAAGTAGGTCCGTTCAATTGTATCCGTTGATGTACAGAAGACATTCTCGATTCCAATGATTATCTATCTATAAATTTCTATGCCTCGAATAAGAATTCTTTCACCATCCTTCTCCCTATAGCCTAAGAATTCAGTCGAAAACAAAAATAAGTTTCTTGGATACAGGGTTTAAAAAAATATTTTGAAAGTTGTTTGAGTTTGAATGACCAATAAATGATATTTAAATTGAAGTAAACTTTTGAGCGTAGTAACATTTTTGTCATTGGCGATGTTACCAATAGGTTTTTTACTGGAAGTTATCATCGAACTCAAAATAAAGGTAATAGGTAATTAAGATTTTTCGTAGACAGTTTCATCAGAAATGGCTTTGTTAACTTCCATTTCCGAACCAGAAGAGATTTTCTATTTTTTTCTCGTTATAAATATCCCCCATTTCAAATTTCTTATCTTACAAGATGTATGGCGCTACGGACAACAACAATTTCGTTGACACCCGGTATAAAAAACACAATAATTTTTTTCGACCCGAAACCTCAAGAAGTACATCTTAAGGATGATTTCTTGATGTTCTTGAAAAAGTAGATTCCAAACAACAGTCTGTTTATGAAAGAAACTTGTGGATCGTCTACACAGCTTTGTAAAGAATTATTTTGAACTCATTTCTTCATTCCTTTCTCCGTTTTTGTATTAAGATGAAGAACTAGAAAGTCGAAAAGCTTTTTTTTCTGAAGCTAACCCCTTCTGAAAAAGTCACCCTTGCATTTTAAACACATCATATTGTTTTTTAAGTAAACTGAAATAATACTTTGTATGGAAAAAATATTTTCAGCTTCTTCGAATGCTAAAGGGATTTTTGGGAAAGAAAGTTTTTGGCTTCTACTACTCCATCTTAATACAATAAAATGTGAGAATCTTCCAAAGAAAGGAGGGAAGTAATTAATTTGAAAATAAGTAACTCTATACATGGATGTGTAGATCATGCAAAGAAGTAACTTTCAGACACAAACTGTAAGAAAGCCCTCCTGAAACAGCTACTTTCATATAAACATTGAATTACACGAAAGAAAAAAATCTTTCGTAACAAACACTGAATTATACAGAAGATACTTTTCTCTACTCAGTTTGTATTCCAAACATTCGTTATGGAATAAAATCAGATATCATTCACTGGAGTTCTACTTTAAATGAATGGTAACTAATTGCACTTACATGGAACACTACCATCCTCACTGGTAGACATCGATGTTTAGCCATAAGACGAAAGGATATTATTTATTTGCTTCAAATGATTTTATGTATTGAGCGTTTCATTGCTTGAAATTAATGATTTAATAGTTGAATGGAAATCTTGGTCTTCAGTGTCAATTTAGGCGCCTTTTATGAAAAAAAAAATCCAAATTATATTTCCCATATGTGATCGTATGATTAAGAACTTTGTGACATTTAGTACTATACAGCATTATGAACGTGATTAATTCGAACATTTCTCAATTCATAATTTATACTATATTTTGTGAAAAATTAAAACGAACTCAAGAGAGAAACCTTACAAGTTCATCGATAGAAAGACAAATAATGAAATCAACCTCTCCGTTCACTCAATAATTGTAAACGTATTTTTTTATGATTCATTTCGCATATGTTCACCAAAGTTCAGTCACAACTGAAAAGATTAAAATCCTTTTTTAAGTACGTGTCATCTTGAAATCCCAGTAAACAATGCATCATCGTCTGAGACTGGAATCGGGTGTTTATTTGGCGGATTCTCAAGGTCTCAGGGTGACATTATCTGGTTAATTTGTTGGGGCGTTACAACACAGTGTCGAGTCTGAAAGGCATAAAAACCGAAAAATAATCAATGATTGTTACCTCTTCCTTGAAGACGATACAACTAATTAATTAAATGTGTTCTATCCATTTCTTCACTTCAAGGAAACTGCATATTATTTTCATCAAACTATAATTAATCGATTATTTATGTTTTACTCTAATATGTTAAGAAGAAAGTAATACAAATCAGGAAATTATGAAAAATAATAGTCCAAGATAATTAGGAATAATTGATATTCAATATGAGTGGTATGTGTACTTCAGTCTCATTTCGTTTTTATTGGAGATGAATACAATGGTTCTCTCAGCCAAGAGCCAAATCAACTGTTATTCATTTATTTATTTATTCAATATATGTACTGTGATAGG